GTCAAGATCGAGTCCGAGAGTCCCGAGCGCGGCGCAGCGCTGGTCGCCTATCGCACCCAGCCACGATCTCTAAGGACGAAGCGTGGCGCGATAAGACAAAACCGTACAACATGTACGGGGGCAAGTGTGCACATATTCTCTGCGTGGAGAGTTGGCACGTTGTTCTCTTCTGCGTGTTTCAATTTGCCCTCTTTCAGTACTTTGTTCACGTCTTCCATGGCCGCCCGCCTTCTGTCGCTGAATGGATTTCGGGACAAATTATGGCTTCAATCGGTGGGTTCTTCTGTGTATAGTTTCGTTGGAGTTCACACGGAGTAGGTGGCTTCTATTCTGATTTTTGTCCTTATGCAAAGATTCATTGAATAACGGATAGATGAGAGTGGGTTCGGAGATTTGACGTCTCGCAAAAAAAAGTGGGAACACAAGATTCTTGAAGAGCCATGTGGGTCTTTTGTCTATCCCCAAATCGCATATGGAGCCTTGTTGCAGGGTTGCAACATTCATATCTCAGGCAGCTACTTGCCTGTGGCTGCCAATATATGAATGAAACATTTGTGGTTGTGGCTGTTCCTAGTGCTTACAGCTACATGACAGGCATGAACAAATAGCTATCCATGGAAAAGTTGCGCAAATTTTCAGTTGGTTGACGCTAAGATTTGTGCTAACGGGTCCGAACTACGCCCAGCGGTGCACATTCTGGCAAATGTGGCGGCAATCCACTGCGGGTGATGATCCGGTCGATGGTGGACGGGGCATTCATAGCAAGTCACATCGTGCCGTTGAAGTCGCAGTCTCGACTGCGATTATCGAGATCCCTACAATGTTTTGAGTATTCAGGATTTTTGCTTCGATGTCGTGCACTACCGCTGGTGCCAAAAGACGCTGTTCTAGCAGTAAAAAGCTTTTGCCCATATACTGTTTGGGTCTCTTAAGATGCCCTTTTCGCTATTGCCTCGAAGTGGGTACGTTATGGACCATCTTCTCTGTTATCTGGAAGTTCGAAGATCTTGAGAAGATGGAACTCGATCTTCACTCCACCATAAGTGTGCCAGCAAATTTTGCTCTTTAACGATGCTCAGCCTTTTCAACACTTAAGCAGGCTGAGTGATGATCTTGAAGGAAGAGGCTTACAAAGGCAAGAATTGCTCATTTTACACAAATTCGCCCAATTCTCATGCCCAGGCAAATTGCTGAAAATGGTGCAATATTGATGTACAACATGTGCCGAAAATGGGATGAAAGGCAGCGCAGCTCTGGGCCACGTTCTTTGCGGAGTGACTGCATGACCAGGAAGAACATGCTTCCGTTGGCGGGAATTTCTCCTGCCCGACATGCACAATGATAGTTCAGTTGTTCTTTCAATCGGTGATGCCGTTCATAATTCTCTCCATCACCATAGCCATGGGAATGATTTCGTTTTTAAAAATGCATCACGAATCAAGATATAGGTGATTCGTGGTTCACACTCATCATACTGTATACTTCATCGATGAAGAAATACACCCGAAGTTATGAGAATAAGAACTAACATTCATGCAGTACTGGTATATGCTTGTACACAATAGTCTGGAGTTGTGTCTGAGCCCTAATCTCAGCTGAGCGAATGGGCAACGAACACAATAAATGGTTGCCTGGGCTCTTCTTCACTTGAGAGATTGCTAGCCGACGTAGTGAGACCCCGCCAACGCCACCCGTTTGAACCTTTTCCATGGCCCTCCATGGAAGTGCGCCTGAAATACATTTGTGTTTGTCCCAACTTCAAACCAAGAAGTTCAAGGGGTGTGAAGATGCTAGAAGTAAATGAGAGCTAAAATGAACGCCCGCATCACTGCCAGTGCGCATTGGCAGTGTTACGTACGGGTATCCCCACACACGTCTGGAGACAGATGCAAGAACTTGCGTCACTCTAATTTCGCGTCAAACAATGGAACGCCCGGTAAGCATTTGCGCTCAAGTCGTGCATTAAACAAGACGATCTGGTTTGGAAATGCTGCCGCATTTCACCCAGTTGAAACAGGAGTTGCTTTGCTAATTTTCCCTTCAGTGACGAGAATCGTGCTCTGCCCAATCTTCGCCAACAGTCCCACTAGAAATATGGATTGCAGAGTGGAGACCATTGCAGAGACGCCCAGGCGATGAGGCAGCGTTCAGATTTCGAGTTGCGCCGGTCAGGTGTGGTTTTCAACATAGTGTGTCATTGTTGTGTGATGCGTCGCCATAAACCATTACGACGCGGCTGAACACCATGTGCCCGTCGCCATGGCACGCCGGCGTTGCACAGCACGGCGCCGCGCTGTGCATTCTGACATGAGCTTGTGGATCTATTGGACACCAACTGCCTTTCGGCTCAACCCCGTAAGGTTGGGACTGTAGATCGCGTCGTAACCTCGTTCCTGAGCGGAGCTCAAAGGGTGTTCCCACCCCTTCAACGGCCGTGTGTGTCGAGCTTCGCGGCCCCGAAATTCGCACGCTTCTCATCACGTCCCCCACGCAGCCATCTTCCCTCCAGCGCTCCAGCGTTGGCGCAGTTCGCGTTACGGTTTGACGCAGTCCGGCGTCTGTCAGGAGCGGGCAGCAGGACCCGCGGGCGCACCCACGGAAGCCATGTGTGATTCGCAAGTTGACTGAAGCGGGCCGCGGGCGGACCCCTGTGTTTGCACACCTGTGACTGCACCACGTCTTAACTAGGGGAAGGGCCGAGCGTCGCGGCGCCCCCGCGGCCCGTGGCGCCATTTGTCTGCCGGCCGTTCTCAGTTTCCCGCCTATTTAAGTGGTACCGGCCAAAGATGCGGTCATCACGAGGCACAGACGTGCGGCGGTGCGGCGGGCCCCCCGGAGTGCCACTCCACCCCACCCTCCCGCACCCCTCCCAGCAGCCGTGGGCCCGACCCCCCCTTCCACTTTTGAGCAAGGGCTGCAGCCGCATGCCCGGCGTTGCTCCCCAGGTCGGTGGGGCCCTGCCAGAGAATAAGGCGCTCCGGTCCGGGGGCGCTTTGCAGGCGTGATAGGGGAGGCCTAGTGGCCCTTGTCGGGCGGATTGCGAGCAGCCGCGAGCGCGGTTTGGCCCACCGAAGAACGGGGGAGCTATCCGCGGGGTGCAGAGGAGGAGATTCGGTGCCAGATGGCGGACTGAGGCCGCTAACCTGGGGAGCACATCTCTGTGTCTGCGGCCTTAGCTGCGGACGGGCTTTTGAGGAAGGCGGACGTCAGGGACACCCAGGGTCGGGCTCGGCGCGGGTGGAGGGGATCGGCGCCTCTCGTCCGGGAGCCCCGCGAAGCTGCACCACACGAGGGCGCGCATCAGGCCGGCGCATCTGAAGTGAGGCGAGTGGGCGCATTTGCGTTTGACGCGGCGGAGCGCCGGGGTCTGGCCATCGTGGGGCACTGCCCGCGGCCCCATCCGGCGGCCCGGAGCGCGTCGACTCTCGCGGATCGTCGTCGGGATCCTCGGTTTGGCGGTGTCATCTGAATGACATAATAGATGCCGGCCGCGGCGGACCCATGCCGCACGCGCGCGCCTTGCACGTGTTTTCCAGCACGGGTGCCCTCGATCGTAGCGAATATGTAGAAAGAATGGACCCGCTGGGCTGCCTGTTGCCCTCGCAGGCAACTGGCCGCATCCGCTACCGCATCGCCCGTTCCGTGCCCGCTGGGAAGCTTGGGTTTGCGAATCAACAAACAGCCTGCGCTGATGGCCAGCAAACGGGCGGAGCCTTGTGCCATTGAGCGTGCCCCGCCCCCCCAGTGTTCATCATCTCGCTTTGGCCCGACTTTGGGGGCAGAAACGAGCGTGGTTGCCGAGCAACGGCCTTGCTGCGCGGCCTCCTGGCGCTACCGGCTGGCTGCTGGCAAATTCCAAATCCGACTGATACCCATCGCCCAAGAAGCGGGAACTCGGGGGTGATGGCCCACGTGGTGGCCAGCCGACTCGACGTTGTATGAATGACGCCGGCCCCGAGGTGGTCCAGTCATGCGGCGGACGTCAGTCCTGTCAAAGTTCCATGGATGTGGCATGGCCCCCATTGCGCTCGTCAACCTTGGGGCCCGCGACAGGAACCGAAGTGGGGGCGAAGTCGCACGGGATGTGGGATGCTCTGTCATATTTGTCCGCTGGTTCACGTGGGGGGGCCGGTCGTTGGACAAAACGCGACGCGCGCGCTGCTGGCGACAACCAGGGGCGCATTTGTGGGGCGATGGCCTGGTGGATGTGCGCACAGGGCAGCGGCCGAAGTGACGTGCACACATTGGATCGTGCTTTTCGTGTAGCGCTCAGCATCACAGCGGGAAAACGCGAGAGTCGTTGGACGGTGTGGCGCATGACTGGCCCTGAGTGTGCGCACAGTGGGTGAAAATGTACCCAGCGTCCTTGCCTGTACGACCTGCGCGTTCGTCTCCACGTGCCCAATTCCTGTACCGCCTCGCCGTGCCCGCAAATACCGCGCCCCAGCTTTGAGGCTCGCCAATCAGGCAAGGGGGCTGCGCCAGGCCCCCCAACTTGGCGGCGCAAGGGCGATCGAGGGACTGTTGATCTGTCCTGTACGCGGCGAGTAAGTCGGAGCTTGGTGCTTGGACTCCGCGGCTGGTGGATAACCCCACGTGGGCGTGTGATGCTGGGTCGCATGGGCATCTTGGGGTGCGCTCACCTCATGCGACCTCTATCAATAACCGATCAGAGGGACGAGGATCGTGTATGGAGCGAACAACGGACACGTTCCATTGGGCTTCCTGGGAGTCGTTGATGTTTCCAGGGGGTGCCCTGTGGGCGCGCATTTTTTCAGACTGCGTGCCCGCTCCCTGCTGCTCATTCTGACGGACACCCGGACTTTGCTCGCAGATTTTGAGCGACGTCCCCTCCCGGCCTCCGACCGCTATCGGCGCTTCAGCAGGGGCCCATCTGCTCCCCGCCGCCAATGCGACAAAGGAGGCCCGTTGAGAACGCCGTGGCTGCCTGAGGCGCCCTCGTGCACAAGTCGGTGCCAGTTGGGTGGGATTCATGCGACATGGAGGGTCGGGTGCGCGACGACCCCTGGGACAGTGTCTCCCTGGCGTTCACCAACCCTCAATTGGACGACGAATTTTGGAGGCACCGCGTTGTGCAAACCCTCTGCCGATACGACCTGATGATCTACCTGTACGGCGTGCTCCACTGGGCCTCCCTCTTCCTGACGCTGCGCCCTCCCCCGGACACCCCGGTGTACGTCTGGGTGCTGGCCTACCCCGTGCTCATGTTCCTGGAGCTCGCCGCCGTCTGCTCCAGCTTTCACAGGCTGAAGCAATACGTCGAGTGGCGCACATGCATAGTGGCCGTCATCAGGGTTTGCGCGATTTTGGTGACATCCATCACCCTTTACGCGCCCCCCGGGAAGACGCCCCTGGCGGCCATGGCTCGGTTGCTGTCCCAGACGCCCGTCGCGGCTTCCGTCATTTTCGGCTGCGGGCTGCAGCTGCCGTTCAGGCTGCATGTTGCGGTCCAATTCTTGTCTTGTACAGTAGCCATGCTCTTCGTGCCGAGCTACGTGAAGGCTTGGGAGCTCCAGGGGGAGGCCCTTGCGGGTGCCTGTCGGTCTGTGGGCGGGACCGTGGATTGGGCCTTGAGGGCGCTGGTGTGGGTGGGCCCGGCGGAGGCTGGGGAGGAGGGGCTGAGGGACCGGTGCTCCTGCTGCCTCGTGATGTACTTTCTGCAGTGGGTGGTGGGATTTGTGGCGCCGTCCGCGTTCATTTATTGCGTAGAGAGCTACTCCAGGAAGGACTACATTTTTGAGCACGGCCGGCTGACGCGCAAGGAGAGGCGCACGGTGCGCCGCGCCTGGCGGAGGGCGGTGCCCTCGGCGATGCTCTGCGCCGTCATCGGGGCGGTCACGCTGTGGGAGTTGCTGAAGGCGACGTCCATGCCGGCAAGCTGAGGGGAGGAATTTTTGAATGATATAAAAATGATAAATGATGGTGCATTGTCTGGGCGTGTTGGCTGGCGGTGGATTGATGCCGGGAGATGGCAGGGATGTGCGGCAGGCGATCAACGCGAACACACGTTTCAAGGCGGTTCAAGGTCAAGATGGTCCACTGCCGACAACAAATTCCCCCGGCGTGCTTCAATTTGTGGCAGAGCACGGAGCTCTGTTTCAAGCCTCAAGAGTTGCGTTTTGATGTAGAGGGTGGTGCCGGTGGGCGTGGAGCGGTGACGAGCGTGGTAGTGTAAGGCCACCCAATAATAGGTGTACTATTATTATTGACGTCCGACGGGGATCTTTTTCACCTCTCTAGGGACGTTCTGTAAGGTCTTTCCCGGTCATCACTAGGTTTGCTCATGGGCGTTTCCTGACCAGGAGGGCTTTTGAATTCACTATAGGAGAGGATCACATTGGATCCAGTGGTTGAATAAAACACTTGAGCATAAGATTTTTTCTTCCCGTGGGGGGATGACGTCCCTACCAAAGAAGAAAATGTCGTTTGGAATGCAGGACAGGGCACAATGGAGAGTTGCGATCAGCTCCGAATGGAACTGCATTTAATAAGGATGATTGGTCGAGGGCAGGTGCTGCAGCGGCAGGGCCCTACCAGACGCCATTCCGTGATGCTCGATGTCTAAATGGCGCGCAACTGCTTGCACACGGCATCGCTCCTGAGAAATCTATTAAATTGCCAGTGTGGCATTACCAACGTGGACGAATTCTCTGGGCATCTGCTTGTGTTTTTGCGATTGTTCCTACTAAATTTGGGAATGGCAGAATGGGGTTTCAAGTTGAGCATCGCTGACACTCTGGGACAACTTGGGAAAGTAGAGATGGAATTCCTTGAAGCCAGCAGAATAGCGCCTCCTGTAGGTACCTCAAAATCAAAACAGCCTAAAGTGCTGCCGCAAGATGTACCGCTGACAGGAGATGCGTGGTGCATACGTCGTCATAGCCATTGTTGCTGGCAAAGAAATGAAATACCCACGCCAACTAACAGCACATTCATATATCAAGAATTGTGGACAAGACTGCAATACTGACCGCCGACTTCGTCTTACCCGATTTCCTCTGCCTATTGCACTTCAGGTGGTGCGGCATTAATGCGCACCCTTTCATGTATCCAGCACAGAACCCCAGGATATCCAGAGCATACAACAAGCCATTTCCAGATTCGCGGAAATCGTGCTCCAGGGAGCAACCTGCCAAGGCGACATTTCTTACATTTTTCAACATAGTATATGCACATTCTGTTTACATCGCTGCTGGGCAACGATAAGAAAGTATGCCCCATATTCTATCTAGTTGCAGGAGCACATGCTGTGGATATGAAAAGTCCCTTCTTCCTCAATTTTCGGTAACACGCATGTACGGCCGATGTTTTCAAGCAACACGGCATAGCATTGCCCACGACCCTCCAAAGAAGTCATTTCACCCTCAGGTGTCCGATGCTGCCACTGCCTAAGACCTAGGCGGTAAGGCGTCCCTGAGCAGCTTTTTTGGCGCCGTGCCCTCTGTTAACCAATGTGAAGGACAGGAGTCGCAAAGGAGATTCGCCGTGCTCCGCTGGAGCCAGCGCAGATGGCAATTGGCGCTGGCATTGATCACGAGAGGCATTGGAACGATGGCCGTGCGGATCTCCAAGAACGACGCTACTTTGAAGACAGCGCGACTACAGTTTGCTGCTCTTCAAACTTGATGCACAGGCGAGAAGAAGAAGCCATGTGTCCGCTGAAACAATATGCACCGCAGCGAGCCTGCTTTTGCGCGTTTTCTTGACGCACGTCGCTGAGGATCTTGTGTATGGAAGGGGCAAGCGCAGGCTCACGTTGGGTCCCTTATCGCTGCGCACGTCCTCCAGCATCTCAGTTTGGATGCTCCGTCCCTTCCCCGACATGCCCGACCCTGGTAGTTGTCGACACCCTTGGGGCATCAGCACCTTTTGTAGATTCGGCTCTTGCTTGCTTCATCGAGGGACAAAACGTCGAACACGGTAGTAATGAACATGTATGCATCTCACTGAGCAAGGATAATTCGGTACAGTGATAATTGCCACTGGCAAGTGCGATCGCCTTTTCGTGGTGGCATGCGCATCAACTCAAGTTAGAACAGACATAGGCTGAGTGGAGCATCGCATGAACTTGTTGAACCAAGCGGATGGGCAGCCCTTGCTCTGGCTGCTCACAATAACATATGTAGATAGATATCTGAGATAGAGCTCTAAGCAGGCAATACCTGAACGCGCTCATTCTCTCCTGTGAAATATCGCACGTGTGGGCTGGTGCTGACATTAAAGAAGTCATACATGGCTGGCAAAGGGGCAATCTTGGTACATGGAATTTTTCAACTGAGTCCTGACGTACGACTACCAGTTGCCGTCGACATATATCAAGCGCATTTATCCTCGTGTGCCATGCTGAATCTCCAATCACACCCTGGGTAATGTGGCCACACAGACATTCATGTGGTGGGGGATGTCCTGCATGAGTTCCGGTTGACACTGCTTTCACAGTCTTATCCCAAACGCGTCCTGCTCAACATCCAAAACGGCGAGCACCCGTGGTACTTGCAGCCCAACTAGAAATGTTTCTGTCAAAGAAAGGGAGGCTATCATCCCCCGATTTTCGGCCATCGCCACTGGCTCTTTGCTTTGCTACCACAACAGATCGCTTTCGGCAACATTCTGGAGCAAAATGAGTATCATGGCCATCATGGCCATGATGGCCATCCGGTCTATCAGGCATACCAACTATTGTTTTAACATCAAAAACAATAGCACAGATATCGCTAGGACGGCGTAGGCCTACAGTGATATGCTCAACCATAACGCGTCAGAATCCACTGTTACCATTTTGTTCCACACGTTTTCGACAGACGGTTATTTGGGGGGCGGCGCGCCATGGTAGCCGCCGGAATGGCGATTCAAATCAGTTGGCATGTCCTCAAAAGTCGGTTTGACCCACAGAGACTCGTGTATCTGGGGATGCTATTTGCGGCGAGCGGTCCAGAAACTCTCGAATTGCGGTTGGGCTGCTCCACAGATTCTCTGCACCATTGCGTCTTACTAACTGCCCCGCATAAAAGTCCAAACGTTATGTTACTATGCGCAAGGCTTGAATATTTCGTAATATTCCTTTCCCGGTCGTAACTCTTGGCAAAGCACAATGCGCTGGCAAAATGTTGACATTTCGCACAGACTCTAACGGTGTTGAAGTTGGGCCGAAATGGGACCAAGTCCGTTTGTATTCACCGCGTTTTGGGTGGTCACTTTTTTGGGCGACAGTGAATTGCTCTTTTTTGCGAATGTTCCTTTTTGCGACAGTGTCGCTCTTTGTTGCCACAACGTTGTTTATTTCTACGACAACGCCAGAACTGTTCATTTTTGCGACAGTGCTGCGGCTGTTATCTTTTGCGACAGTGCTGGTACCAAATGTGTGACACGTGGCCTTTTGGGTGACGCTTCACGCACCCCGAGACCTTCGGTTGGCGGTGGCGTTGTTCAGAGAATAGTGCCGATATTGCAAACAGGAGTGTTAGAGGACGACCAGGGCCCCCTTGATAACCGATTGGGCTGCCGCGCAAGTCTGGCATGGAGATTCAACAGAATTGGCTGAAACTGGTGCAAACGCGAGCTTTGAAAGGCACCGGCCGTCCCCTGGCCTGCCATAAATGCGGGTGAGAAGGGCTGGGGCTGCGACCACAGCCCGAGCAGGGGCTGCCGTGCCTAGATCGGCAAAGATCATCAGCGGAAACAGCTTATGCGCAAGCCGAATTGGGCCACACGTCAGTGAGTGGGGGCACAGGAAGGCCCCCACCCTACCGAAACGCTCAAACCCGAGCCAAAACAGCCAAGCGGCAAGCAAAAGGGGGCATTGAACGTGCTTAAACTTGCCCAAACGGTGCTCCAGGGGACAGATTGGGCCAGGGATAGCACGAACGGGGGTAAGGTGTCACCTACCCCATCTATTGGCGTTTCGAAACTTCGGAGCAAGCTGCAGCACGTCGGCTGATGCCTGTACCGAACTGGAAGCCGCTTTGGGGCGCCCTTTTCTCCCGTTCTGGATCACGCCCTATCCATTTCAGCACAGTTGGAGACACCTAAACCCTGGCGATCGAGCGATGGGATCTTTGTAGCTGGTCGATCTCAGTCGCCCCCACGTGCCAAAGATGGAGATGGCGTGATTGTGTGGGGTGCATTGTTGTATCCTTCTTTTTATAGGAGCGTTCAATGTACATGGGGACAATGGGACACGAAATGGACATGTTTATAGTGAATGCTATCTGAATGAAGGACACATCCTATAATACCTCTGGTTATGGTTTTGTGGCTGTGCGTGCGAATGTATCGGTTTTCTTCATAACTTTTATTGGCTAGCGATTGCTTTGCATGTTAACGAACGTGTGTTTTATCCTGGGATAGCCTGAGCTGACCGCCTCCACTTCCAAACATTGTAATATATTCATGAGCTTCTTTGATACTATGCTTGTTCTGTTGAGCAAGTTTGGCTTGTGGGATGCCTTTCCGATTACGCTCAGATCTCTTTGCTACAATGTGGATTTCTATTAAAAAGGCTGAGCTGCCCAGATGTAATGCTTTGACAAGGGATTCTTATCTGCAAAAATCATTTGGGGAAATTTGTGGCTGTGCTTCCCACAGCTTTACCTGGCCTTAATTCTTTTGTCCATTTTGGCTTGCAAGTAACTTGAAGATTTTCGAATGGCAATGTGAATGGTCTGAGCAATCGCAAATGGGTTGTTTGAGTGGCGAAGTGGTGTTGTAAATCCCGGGCTTCTCTCTTTGTACTTTTGTCTCATCGCAGTGTTTTTGGTGATGCTAGAGAGTCTGTGTTCTGGTGGCCTATATTCCAAATTGATTTCTGTGTGCAAGGACAACCACAAAGTGTTTTGTATTTGGCTATGTGTTGGATGGGCGTGTGGATGAGCTGCTTGATGGA